TAGTAATACATTAGTGGCAGGGCTGATACTAGCACCCGAACTTTGAAAATGCTGTGTTTTAAGTGCCTAAAGCACAAAGTTCCTGCAATATGCTGACAAAGGGATATAAACATGACAGTACAAAATCTCAATTTAATTTTTGCTAGAATTACATTTTAGTATTAACCAGTAAAATATTCAAAATTCAGCTATCAGAAAGACAGTGTTCGATTTAGTATTATTATCAAGAAGGGAAGGTATTTGCAACAATCTAATAGGATACATTTATTATAATATATTTTCTCCTCCACAATTTACCAAAACTCAAAATAGCATAGAAAAAAAAGAAAGCTTCATATGCCTTTCTTTATGTATCAGTCTTATATGAAAGAAAATGGTTTCAAGTGATGAAAAAACTTAATTTCTATGCCTTATTTATAAGTGTATTACATTACATCCCACTGATAAAAAGACACATATGTACTATGCATGTAACAGAACAGAATTCACAAAGATTTTCATATTTTCCAGAATAACTAATTTAGGTATAGTAAGGAATGACTTAAATATTTTATTCTGAGTGGAAAGGACATAAGTTAAAATCATATACATTAAGAAACTGTAAGATAAAAGTAACATTCGCCATTTACTGAGTGTTTACCAAGTGATATAAACTATGCTAAATAAGCACTTTACACACACCAGCTCATTTCAAAAGTCTGTGAAATGAGTAGTATAATTATCCTTATTTTGCTGATCATAAAAATGGAAGCTCAGAGTAACTTGCCTGAAGTTACTCAGGTAGTGTTAGAGATAGAATTCATTCTCAAACCTGTACAGTATTTAAGCTCTATCAAGTTTCTAACCCTCTATAATTTAGATCAAGGTTAATTCCTCCTATGTAAGGGGTGGACTACATGACCCCTTTTGCTCACAGAATTATGAGCAAAAACAAAAACCAGTTCAGAATTTACATAATATTTGTGACAGTATACTCGCAGCCTAAGGGGAAGGCCACCAAACAGATGAACCAATAAGAAGACAATGAGAAGAAAGAAAAAATAAAGAGTAAGAGGAGGAGAAAAAGCAATAGGTCCTTCTCCAAGGGGCCCATCACAGCTCCATTTTACTAGACATCAGGGCTACTGTGACAAGAAAGGGAAACCCAGAACAGGAATTGAAAGCAGAACTGTAAGGCATGTACATAAATGAAATAGCTTAGCCCACAGTAATGGTCTCACAGCAGACAAGGAAGGAGCTGTGGGAAAGCCCTGCAGGAGTCAGTGGCCATGAGCTCAACGCTGGGCCAGGAAGCAGAGTTCTCATATAAACACTGTCAATAGTTAAGTAAGAATAGTCAAGTATAGATGACTGACCACTAGGTTACTGGAAGAAGTGTTACCACAACTGTTATGCATTTGGATCAATCTGAAATGTACAGCACTATGAAGAGTGTGGTTTTAAGATGGAGTAGGGGAGGAACCAGCATTTACTCTACTAAGTTCCTTAATTTCCTAACGTCCCAGGCATTGTGCATGTGGTTTCCTATATTACCATATTTAACCTTCACAACAACCTTGGTAGATGGAATGGTTAATTTTACATGTCAACTCAGCTTCACCATGGTGCCCAGATACTTGGTCAAACATTCTAGATGTTTCTGTGAAGATGTTTTTTGGATGGGATTAACAATTAAATCAGTGGACTCTGAGTAAAGCAGCTTTACTCTCCATCCAATGAAGTGAAGGCCTAAAGAGCACAAAAAATAACCTTTCCTGAGCAAGAAGGAATGCAAGCAGACTGCTTTTGGACTCAGACTGCAACTCTTTCCTGGGTCTCCAGCTCACCGGCCAAACCTGCAGGTTTTGGACTTAACAAAGCTTCAGCATTATGAGTTAATTTCTTAAAATAAACCAGTCTCTCTCCCTTTCTGGAGAAAGGGATATATACACAGAGAGAGAGACACATACATCCTATTGGTTCTGTTTCTCTAGAGAACTCTGAGTAATACAATAGATACTGCTTTCTGTTTTCATCACTGAGGAAAATAACAGCCTGAAAGGACTCATTCTCTTTCCCCACTACACCACACAGCAGAATGCCTTCAGGACTCACATCTAGTCTGAGGGGCTAGGGCAGGAGTCAGAGGGTAATGAGGAGCAGGGAAACCTCATAACCACAAGTCATGCATCCCAAGGAGCCCTTTACAACATTGGCATCACACCATATACAACACAGAGCCTTGATGTGCCCATGTGATGAACTATCCTTTGTCTAGTGTCTGGATTCAGTTATTCTGGATAAAAGGAATCAAATATTCCTACTAAGTCAACAACATTTGAAGACTTTGAAAGAAGAGGAAATATAATCGGTAAAGAAGAGAAGGAAAGATAAAAAAGAAAAAGAAAAAATGATTTGTGTCAATTATATGATGGTAGACTTTGCTTTGTTTGGGCTTTCTTTGGATAGTCGTCCATTCACTCCCTCAACAAATATTTATTTTGAATTTTATGTTTTTATGGGCTTTTGTGGGTACTGGATAGTGCTATCAAGCTAAGGAGACACATGTGACATAGTTAATGTGAAAAAAGACCAATGAAAGTCAAGAAGATTTCACACAAGGGGTGACTTTTCAGCTGGGATAGAGGTATGAGTTTAACTAGTGGAAAAGAGGGATGGTATTCCAGGCAGAATTTCTGATACAGTAAACTTCAACTGAGTCTATTTTCTATGTTGCTAGACGTGTATGTGGGGAGGAGAGGGTCGTAGGTAGAGGTCTACGGCAGCTGAAGACCAGCTGGGGTTATGTGATGAGGAACAACACCAAAGAATTTAACCTTTATTCTGCAAGTAATCAGAGTTGTAAAAGATTCCTAAGCAGAGGAGGAGCAGGACCATGGGCTAAGCCTTTTTACCAAGACCATCCATGGAGCTTAAGTGCATACAAGGACAGCTGGGAATAGCTTGATCAGGTGATCAGATATAACTACATATAAAGAAATCACTGTAAAGTTTGATGAAAATTAAACCTTGAATAAAAACTAAGCCTTAGTTACAATAATAATGTTCATTATTAAAAGGCATAAAAGTATTTCATGTGCTCTAACTAAAAAAAATTAAAGTTGAATTTACACATACTTTTTAGTCCCAACTAAAAACCTATGGTCTAGAAAAATTGGAAATTACTATAAAGCCATTACTATGCAACAAATATATATGTGAAAGTTTTTCTCAAAAAAATAAATTAAAATGAAAAAATGAAATAAAACTCAACAGGAGTTGATATAAAGAAAACTATTATTATGGTAATAAATATTTTGTGGAATCTGTGTCCTTAAACATGAACTAAATATAAGCCAGAGGGCAAAAGGTGGCTGAGTAAGGCCAACCTAATCTTGCAAATCACCAAAAATGGAAAAAGAACTGGCCCTAACTTATATTTCTAAAGAGCAAAGTGGTCGAGAAAGGACTCTACAATGAAGGAAAATAAATTAGGACTTAAGAGATCATTCAGTCTCTTTCACCCTTTCATTTCCCCCCTTTCTGCTGATAGTTCTCTTTCATCATTCCTAAAGGGATTTTAGAGATCCTCATTCCAATAGTTCCTCTTCAACTGAACTTTAGTTACAGAACTCTGCAAAATCCCAGTATATGAATCAGATAAAAGCATAAAGTTCAGGCTGAAAGATATCAGGGAGAGAGTGGTTACTGGGGCACGCTAACTTAGCTTCCACTTAAGTCTTCACCGTTCCTCTGAGACAGCTCCCCAAAGACCCCTAAATTTTCCTCAGTATAATGTGAAACACATTGGTCCTTGTCTAAATCTCTCAATTTACCAGTAAGGAAACTATAGCCTAAAGAGTTGCCTGAGAAAAAGACCCGTTTCCTAGTACCCCTGCCAGAATTAGAAGGCTTTCTCTTCTTTATAACCTCTAATTTAAATTTCTGGGTTAAAAATCATTTCTTATAAATTATTCTACAAGTTCATGCCATCTTTCTATCTCAAATTCCTACTCAAAATTCACATAGGTCAGTAACTATGAACTTAATATAAGTGGATACTTGAGTCCAGATACTCTGCTAGGACATGCCATCTGCCCTCATTTAACCATCGCCAAATCCCCAGATCATCAAGAAATTGGGCTTACAAAGGTACTGTAACCTTCCTAAGGTCACGGAGCTAGCAGCTTGGAATTCTGGTCTATTTGACTCCTAATGCCCAACCTCAGACTCTTGCACTTCTAATTCTAGCCTTTCCCAAATCTTTGCCTATCTTTTCAGAGGCTCCCAGAAATACAGAACTGTAAGGGATTCTGTCATTTCACACTGGATGTACTTCTTCATCCAGGCTTCTCAAGGAATTCCTACCTCACGCTTCAGCCAACTTCAGCATCATGCCTACTTTAAACCTCTAAACTCAGGTTTCAGAGATGCTCACCCTACTCCACTCCTCAAATCATGAGACTACAACTTCGTTTACAAGCATGAGCTACGTATACGTTCAGTTTCACGGAGAATAGGGAATGTTAAAACTCTTAATAAAAGGGCTACAAAATCAACTCTGAGTTGAGCATGAGATGATAGGCTGGTATTTTAGACTGGATAAACATTAGATACTATCTAATAAGGTACTGGAAATTTGAAGTTAGGGGCTGCTTTGGGACAAAGGATGGTCACGGAGAAGTAGGGACCAGAGATGGCATTAAATAATTTGAATTTGATGGGAGGTCAAGGGAATTTAAGTTAGGGCATCCTCTGGGAGCAAAAGGAGTTGAAGTGACTGTTGTGGCCAATTACAGAAGAGTGTGTGGAGCCAGTACTGATATTAAATTATTGGTAATGGGAGGAAAGAGTTTTAAACAGACTGTGACTTGTCCGATCGTTGGACAAGTCCTAGGCATTAGGGGTCTGAAATTCCGGGTGAGCTCCAGCGCCTGGGGTCCCGTCGGTTGGGTGAGGACCACAAAGCCCCAGTCCTCGCCCCGCCCCACTCTACACACCCCGAAACCCTTCCGCCTTACCTTCTGTTGGATGTAGTGAATCGAGTACTCCAGGGCCACAGTGGGGCGGTATTTGAAGCTGGTGGACATGTGCAGGTTGCTGAGGGCCCTCAGCGCCGGCGGTACCGGGGTGGCGGCCCCGTGTGTCAGGAAAACCAAGAGTAGGAGCAGGAGGGAGCGACGCCCCATGGCTCAGGCTGGCGGCTGCAGTGCGAGTACGAGGGAGACCGGCAGATGCGCGCAGCCGGGTCTAGCCCGCAGCTCCGCCCGCCGCAGACAGGCTCCTCCTCCCCCGGGAAACCCTAAGACAACCCGCCCCTCAGCAACGCCGCTCAACCCCGAGTCACCCCAGCCACAAGGCCCCGTCCCCGTACCAGAGTGTACCACCCCTTCTTTAGAGTCCACCTTTACTTTGGTCACACTCTAAGTCTGCCTTTATCATTCCAGGGCCCCTCCTACCTGACCGCCGAAACCCATCCTTGACTATATCCCCTCCCAATCCCGCCTCATCACACGATGTCCTCGCCTTGCTAGTCACCTCCAAACCCTGTCCTGTCCGCGTCAATTCGATTGCCACATCCCTTGCCCTCCGCAAATACCATATAATGTTAATAATTGTGGTACCATAACAATTTATTAATCATTCACAGCAGGTTACTATAGCACACACTTCACCTCAGTAAGCACCCCACCAACGCTGTTCGTCGTGTATGGTTGTTATTCCCATTTATAGCTGAGGTAACTGAGGCTCAGAGAGGTGCCCACACTTGCACTGGGTCTCTCGGATACCATGCAGTGGAGCACGCTTCTTAAACCACTCGGTCTGGCTCCTTTGCACACCACCTCCATGACGTCAGCCTAGCGACCTCCTACGATACTCTGTCCGTGAGTCACCCCAAACATCAGTGTGACCCACGCAGTCCGTCACTCAACGGAAGTCGCCCGAGAATCCCACTAAGTCCCAGTCCCTTCTTCAGATTAAGGCCCCTTCTCCCGGCAGCCGGTAGCCCGCTTCAGGCCCCGCCTTCCCTTTTTCCCCCGGCCCCTGGCAGTGACATCCCGCACCGACGGAGCTCCCTCCATCTTCACGGCTCCGCCCACCCCCATCAGTCAGCTTCCACCTCTCCTTCCAGTCGGCCGGCTGACCCGTCTGAGGGGCACTCCCGCCCGCTCCCAGCCCTTCCTGGGGACCCTAAACCCAGCTCAGCGCTGCCCTAAAACGAACTTTACAGACTGTACTACTGCTCCACCACTCGGGAAAGAACCCTCGTCAAACCCTCTCCCTGCCCCAAGTTTGACGAAAATGGTCGTTCCCAAATGCTCACAGGTTGTTGTGCTGAATCCCCACCCTCGAAGGTGCCTTCTTCTGATTGGCTCTGAGGAAGGGCGACCAAGCGTCACTTCCGGCGGAAGAGGGCGCGGGAGATTCGATTGGAGCGCACTTGGCTTGTGGCTGATCCCTGCCGGCCGGCGTCACTGAGCTTTGCCCGGACAGGGCCCCGGTCTTCTGCCTCAGGTGAGGAGCTGCTGGAGGAGGTTCTCGAGGAGCAAGGGCTGGAGACTCCTAACGGGACCCTTAACGTCATTATAAGTGAGACTCCGAGCTATCTATGTTGTTTTTTTTCAGGAGTCAGTCTCTTCCGTAAAAGGGCGGTTATGAGAGTAGAAGTGTAAGATTAAATTTTTTAATTTTAGACAGTGCTGTTGTAATCACTCACCGAACGTTTGTCGAATATTTACTGTGCCATCGGACTGGACACGGGTGAATGTCTGGATCCGGAAATAGAGAGGAAAAGGTGCTGCTCCAGCCTTTCAGGTACTCAGAAATACGTATTCAGCTGGCTGCTATGCTGAGTAATACGTGCTCAAAAGGGGTCTTTTCCAAACTGCTTTTATGACCCAGAGGGAAAAGTGCTTAACTGAGCAGGGTGCTCAAAACAGAAACTTTGAATGTTTTCTAGACGCCTTCTTTTCTCTCACATCCAGCTAGCCATACTGGTCTCTTGAGTATCTCAAACCCCTACACTTCTCGCCACTTTTACTGTTGTTATTTGGTTCAGCACGACTGCTACATAACTACGACACTAGCCTCTCAGCTGGTTCTGCTTCTTTCAGTCTTGTTACATTCCAGTCCAGTCTCCATGTTGCCAGGCTGATCAAACCCAAATCTAATCAGGCCTCTCCCCATTAATCACCTTTCTTTTGGTTGCATCTATTTGCTCTCAGGTTTAAGTCTAAACTTCTTAACGTGGTTAACCCTTCCCGTCTGGCTCTGTTTTTCTTCACTCTTGCCCTATGCTCCAACCATTCAGAATGTCATTTTGAGTTCCCCAAATCCCTCACCTCCAGACCTCTCCTAAATCCCATCCCCAACCCAGCTAATTCTTATTCCTTAAAATTCAGTTTATGAAGCCTTCTAAGTCAGGAAGCCTTTCCTGACTCTGCAAGATTGAGTCATAAAGCACCCAGTAGTTCCTCATTCTACAGATTGTTTATAAGTGCCTCCCTCCTCTGTGCCAAGAACTGCTAGGTACTAGGATTACAATGGTGAACATGATGTGAGATTCCTGTCCTCATGGAACTTAAGCCTTTTATGGGTGGACTTGAGAAGAATAAAGGAGAACCTATTTAAGTTAGTCTGGAAAGGCCTCTCTGAGGAGTTGACACTTAAATTGAGGCCAAAAAGATGAGAATGATCCAGCCATGCAACAGAGGAAAGGAAGGACATTCCAGAGTGAATAGGTTATGCCAAAGCCCTAAAGCAGGAAAGAGCTTGACGTCTTAGTGTTCAAGAACCTAAAAGAAGCCCAATGTTGCTGGTGATATTGATGCATACTAAAGTTTGAGAACCACTTCGCTAGAATGAAAATGGGGTGCAAGAGTGATAATCAATGAGCTTACATATCTGGGCGCATTGACAAAAACATCTCCAGTGCGAAAAGGATGCATCAACTATATTGGCCTGATTCCATTAATATTTGCTTCACCTAATGCCCCTTCTTCAAGTAACTTTCTTTTTTTTTTTTTTTAACTTTGAACTTGTTTTTATTTACTGGGATATAGGGGATGGGCTGGGGAATATTCTGCAGGAAATGTCCATCCTAGTCTTGCTGGGATAGCTTCCGGAGCTTTTTCTTTTTCTTGGAGCCACTGTTCTTGGCAGCAGCGGGCTCCTCAGGTCCACTGCTGAGTGTCTTCTCCTTGGACAATTTCCTCTTTTTCTTGGGGACACTCTTATTTCCTGATTCTTCAAGGTCGCTAACCGGTTCCTCTTTGGGGAAAGATTTCTTCCTCTTGGGAAGACTTACATTGCCAGCTGTCTCTTCAAGATCACTACTAGCCAGCTCCTCCTTGGAAAAAGATTTCTTTTTCTTGGGTTTGGAGAAAGAGACAGATGGGTCTTCCATTCCATTTTCCTGAGGAACCTCCTGGGGCTTTTGCTTTTTCTTCTTTTTGGGTTTTTCACTTGTCTCCTCACACTCCTCTGGAGTACTACTGTTCTCTGAAGAATCAAGTAACTTTCTGTTTATAATTTGGCTTAACATGTAGTTATATCCAAAAGAAAATATGGGCTCAAGATGAGTCCCTTCCCTCTGACAGTAATTTTCATGGTAAATTAGTAAAGCATCTTGGATTATGGTTGATCTCCCACATGGCTTGACTAGAAAGAGAGAAAGCAAGTATTCCAGAGTATTCCATATTTAATTAGAAATGCACTGTAATGTGTCCACCTGGACCCCACATATTTTCATAAGCATAAGTCTATCAGTCTTCATTCCTGGATGTTCACTTGAACAGTCTCTGGGCCTTCAAAACAAAAGCCAGCTGAGGCCCTAATTAACTCCCTAGCATTTACACTTTTCTTCCTCTCTCTCCATCTCAGCCTCCTTGTTTCTACTTCTATATGTGAGAGATTGAGAGGACCCAGGTTTTTCTTTGTACATTATTGCTAAGTTCCCTGCCTAGTACTTTTATTATATTTATTGATTTATAAAAGTAATGGATTTAGAAAATATTTTAACTATATAAAGGAAATAAAGAGCATCTTCAAATAATCTTGACAACTCAGAGAAAATACTTTTCAAAAGAAGGTTATCTGTAGGCCTATTATCCCTTCTCTCCACATCCCCTCAAGGTAAGACTAGATCAGTCCTCTTGTTATATTTTCTCATAATATTCTGTACACTTCCTTTATTGAATTTTCCACAATTTCAGTTTTTTGGTGTGATTATTGGTTTAAAATCTGTCTCTTGCACTAGACTATAAGTCTAGTGACCAGGTAGGGACCTTGTCTGTCTGTCAAAATATATTATTCCCATCACCTGGTATTTACCAGCTACACAATAAATAATTGATAAATAAGTAAATGTATTGAACTTATTAAATTGGAATATGGTTTGCTGACTATGATGGGATGAAAAAAATACAATACTGTATCACCATCCTTCCCAATAAAATCAAACGGGAAAGATAAATTGCAATAGATACCATATATGAAATTGTTCCCAAGTCTATGATCATGTTTTCCTAACTTTAGTATTTACTCATCCCTGATGGTTCATTCAGTTATCCATCAAACATGAATTTACCCTACTGCAAGTCAGGCAGTGGAGAGAGAGAGAGAGAGAGAAAGAGGAAAACAAACTAGATGACAAGTATAAGGAAATACTATGAATACAGCAAAGGGAATAACTAAAGTGACTGCCTGAAAGGACCTTATTGCATTTTTGCCCACCAGTCAATGAATGGAAAGTCTTTTTGCTTGAGTTTACACAATGAAACACAAATAGTAAAAAATATTTTAATGACTTTTTTCATTTCAGTTCTCAAATTTATCATGAAGTTACAGTTTTCCAAACATACTTATTTCTCCACTAGAGGGCAATAAACCATTAAATAATGACAATTTAACCACCCTTCCTTTAAAAATACAGTAATTAGTGCTTGTACAATTAATTTAGAAATTAATTCCCAAATATTTCTGCTTATACAAGTTTTTCATTTATTGGTGACTTGATAGGCCAGGTCCTCATCTTCATGAAAATTTAGACTAATGGGTGTAGAACCAAGAAAAATAAGTAAGTATATATCATCCAATATATACATTTTCATGATTGCATGTATCACAAGGATGATTAATACCATAAAGGAATAAATGGGTGATGTCATAGAAACTAAGAGGAAGGAGGTATCTACTTGAGATAAAATGGGGCTCTCTGAGGAGTAAAGATTGAAGGATGAAAATAAGCCAGCTATTTGAAGAACTAAGAGTAGAAAGAGCATTCTAGACAAAGGGAACAGTAAGTACAGAAGCTTGAGAAGAGGAAATATTTGATGTGTTCGAGGAGCAGAAAGAAGGCTAGCATGATTGGAAATGCAGTGATTAAGGGGGCGAGTGGTACAAGGTGAGATCAAGGAGGTGGGCAGGATGAGCTAGGGCCTTGCAGGCATTGTCCTTGCAGGCATTGTCAGGAATTGAGGATTCATTCTAAACAGCAGGATTTTTTTTTTTCAGCTTTCTAATTACTCTTTTTTTTTTAATTATCTATCTCTTGAAGTTGTCTATCGTATATAGTACTATATAATATATTGTGTATATATATTCTATATAAATGTACTACTATACCTAAAAGATTCTTTTATGATTTTTAAACTGATGACTTCCACTTTGTCAAAATTTACTGATGCCAGTCTCAGAAAGTTTCACCCATTTTCAGAAATCGAAAGCTTTTGCCATGTGTTTACAGATGAAAATTTGTTGAAAAAGCTTTATCTTGAACATGTACAGAGACTTATTTCAGAGCATTTATATTATGCTATAAATAAGCTAATCTATTTTTAAATTTTGATAAACCAACATTTGAATTTTTAAAAAGAAATTATGAAAGAGGAGAACATTGCTATTTTATTGTTTTTACTTCTCTGATATGTTTTATACAAGGCTCATAAAGCTCTTTGAACTCTCCTTTGACCATGCAGCATTTTTTTTGGTTTGCACATTCTAAATTGCCTTTTTTCCCTCATCTAGCTGTATAAAAGTGTACACACTGAAATAAAGTGATTTTTTCAGCTAAAAAGAACTGTTTTCCCACCAGTTTAGATTTGATACAACAGTCGTGTAAGTTCATTTACATTCCTACTTATTAATGGTAGAAACAAGTTCTATATGGCTCTTATAAAGATATTGAAAGAAGCTAAATGATAGCTTTTATGAATTACTGGGCTGGAGCATTTATTCAGAAATAGCGTATTTGAGCTACTCTGTTTTAAATCTTATTTTCTTAATTAATTAAGCAGGAAAAGAGAATTAGTTTTTCAGTACACTGACATTTAATGCAAAAAAAAAAATCTATCAGCTTTGCAGTGAAGGTTAAGTGTTTTCCTAGGAAATGAATTATGCACATACAATTAAAGACCTGCCATTCATCCCATGGCTGTTTTGTTTCGCAGGCCACAGTGAGAACACATGAATAGAAGAAGAAAATTTCTTCTCGCCTCAGTTCTTGCTCTCCAGAATTCAAGTTTTATATATCCTTCATGTCAAAGGTGCTTTTCTCGGATAATCCTGATCTCCAAAAGGTAAAGATAAAGTCTGAAAAATGTGAGAGAGGAAATACAAGTGTATGTTGTAGATTTCCCATGGCTCAAAGGCAAATCAGGATTAAATTATACCAGGACATAAAATTCTTTGAGGTTCTTCTGTAAATCCTAGAATAGAATTGGCTGGTAATCCTCTATTACTAGAGGGAAGTTTCAGATTATCTCCAAATCTTTGCTAAGTATCTGCTTCAGAGAAGAAAAATAATTTCTCAGAGGAAATCACGAATCTAATACAAAAACTTAGCCTCCTTCTGGGATACCCCTGGAAACAGTATAGGGGTTTTTTGTTTGTTCGTTGTTTATTTTTGCATAATCTCCAGGGTAGTTTTTTTTTTTTAAACAAATAAACTGGAGAATAGGGACTGTGTTGTTGTAATCTCCGTCTCCTTCAGCAGCTGGAGCAGTGCTTGGCACATAATACTTGATTACAGTGCTCAGATTCAGGCCACTTACAGCTGAGAACCTCAGTTTCTTCTCTGATCTTCATAGAGTACAAGTGAGAGGTAGGGTTGGAGTTCCTTAAGAACACATTCTCTCTGCCTGGAGGAGAGGAGAAGACTATCTACCTAGTAAGTACCTGGTAGTATATAAGCAAGAACAGTAGGCTGGCAATGATTCTTAACTAGTCTTTTTGTCTCATTAGAATCACATGGGGAGGAATTGGCAGCTCTAACGCACATCTGAACTCAAAGTCATCCTTCCATTAATTATTATTATTACTTTATTAAGCTATTCTTTCAAGTACTCATTGTCAACTCTGAGAGAAAGAACCTGTTTGTATTATTCATCACTAAATCCTTAGCATTTAATCTATAGTTTAGTTCATAGAAAATATGCAATAAATGTTTGTTCAGTGAATGAATAAATGACAATATGATAGTGTCTAGATTGTCTTAGATCTGGACGTAGGTTCACCCATTTTTTAGATTTCTACCTATTTCCTGAAAAAAACTAAAACCCTGAGACTGTTTGCCTTTGATCAGGGCCTATTCTTAGAAGCAGTGTGGTATAACAGAATAGTTTTCAAACTTTGGAGAATGCAGCAAGGTTGCAGAATAGGCTCTAACACTTGATAATTGTAAGATCTTGGGATATATAATAGCATTTATCCTGGTAATTAAAAAGCACAGTTCCCTGGAGCCAGACTGCCTGAGTACAAATCTCAACCCTGCTACTTAAAAGCTCTGTAGCCTTGGGCAAGTCACTTAAATTATCTGGATCTCAAAATGGAGAAAGTAATAATACCTGTTTCATAGGGCTGTTGTAAGGATCAAATGAATTAATAAATGCTTAAATGCTTCAAATATTGTGTGATATGTAATCAATAATATACAGATGTGAAATTTTTTTTAAACCGAGTTTTTTCCCCCAAGTCATTTCTTTTTAAAGATAATCTACAACAAAAATTTAGGTTGAACAATACTTCCATTTTTACCTCTTTAGACTGATAATAACAATAGATAACATTAATGAATGTTTACTATATGCTAGGCACGATGCTAGGAGTTTTTAAACATTATATCTTTTGATACAACAGCCCTGTGAGGTGATGCTACTGTTACTGCTAACTTTCAGAGGAGAAAATTAGAGCTTAGAAAGATTAAAGAACTTACCCCAAATCACACAACCAACTAGATAGTGGCAGAAACATACTCAAGCCTAAACAAAGCTGTCTACCTTCCTAATCACTGTTACCTCCTAATTAGTAGTGAAATTTGTATCCAATGAACACCTCTCTTTCTCTCCCAGCATTTAAGATGCCCCCGGAAAAGTGAGCTCTAATTGCTCCATTGAGGCACATATAATCCACAGCACCTGGCCCTTGCCTATGGAAACATAGTCCCCAGAAATATAGCCTGTCCTCTATAGATATTACATTGACGGTGCTATAAAAAGTCTTATTCCCATAATTTCAGGTGCTTATCTTTTCTACTGTTATTTCTGCTTTCCTTTTCCCTTACCTGGAGTCTGTTGTAAGCCAGCACAGGAAATGGAAATTCCTTACTGCTGCAGCATGGCAAGTTTATGACAGAGATTTCATACTCTAGATTTCAGAGACAATGAAGAGCAAAAAGACTGCTCCTTAAAGTTTGTCATTGAACCTCAAATCCTTGGTGACAACAACCTCGAAGATTAGAGCAGTCAGTGGTGGTTTTCAAATTATGTTCTGCAGCGCTTTAGGGCTGTATGCTTCTAGGAAGTAAGATTAAAGACGTAATAGTGGATTGTAAGGCTTCAGAGTTCCCACTTTAGTTTCAAGGCTGTAGTCTCAGCCTTGTATTAGGGTTCCAAGTTAGATTCCATTTCAAAAAGGATTCCATGACATAGATGAAGATATAGATAAAGGCATTTTTTATGTCTTTCTCAAAGGGTTTCAAGGCCAAGAAAACACTAAGAATTACTAATCTCATCAATTTTTCTACTTTGGGGCTAAATATAAATACACTAACATAGAAAAATGAATGAAATTTGGTGTTTTAACTGGTATCAAACAAAAAACTAGCAAATTACCAGTATTATTTCAGATAGATCCTTTCAAAGGCTTCTTGGGGGTCAAAACTTTTCATAATAATTCTAAGGCATTATTTGCCTTTCAATCTCATTCTCTTAAAAGTGCATAGTAGAGTTTTCCAGAGCTCCATGACATGTGATATCATAACAGATTGAGCAGAGAAGGAGGTAGGAGAATACAACTGTCTTTATTAAGCCAGACATTAAAGAGGTTTGCAAAATACAAAACAATGCCATTCTCTTCTCACTAATTTATTTTGCAACACATAGTTATTTTTCATAAAAATATGTTCTTTTTGTTACCTATGCAATGGATTTTTTGAGGAATAAATAAGTATTTTTTTAGAATTCTCCATTTTCTCACTTTTATTTAATTTCTCATATTCAGTTGGAAATATAGACAGATATTACCCACATAAACAAAAGCTCTTTGGTAGTCTCATTAATTTTTAGGAATATAAAGGGTCCTGAGACCAAAAATGTTTGAAAATTAGATTCCATAACAAATAACATTTTGGAAATTGGGTTGCCTCTAGAAGTTAAATCAGGGGACTATTATTTGAATGTGTTGTCTCTACCCTTGCTTCTCAAAGTGTTCTGAGGAACAGCTGCCTTGGTGTCACCCTGGGAGCTTATTAGAAATGCAGGATCTTGGGCCTTGTCCCAGATTTACTGACTCAGAATCTTCATTTTAACAAGATTCTTAGGTGTTTGGTATGCATATTAAAGTTTGAAAAGCTGTGATCTATATTACTCCGTACTAACAATTACTTATTTCAGTCCAGACTTATTCCCTACAGGATTAAAGGAAACTGCATAAATAAATATTTTCATTTTATATGTAATATAAAAGTATATATAATTTAGTGGGTATATGCATTAATACTAATAGACCTAGCCTTTGTTAGGCTATCATTGATACTCTGTTTGCAAGATAGTTCATTACTAACCATTCCATTCTTATAGTTATCATACAGGAAAGAATCCAAGCTGGGAATCCAAAGCCTTGTATTTGGTCATAAAATTCACCAACTTTGTCACGTCAGGCAAAAATTTACCCCAATTTCCCCAGTTTGTGAGTGGGAGTAAATGCTTTGTTTACTTATCAGAATGAAATAATGTATATTGAAAACATTTATAAACTATAAAATACAGATGCATATTAATTCTAGAATTTGCTGGGAATTTTACATTAGACATGAATACATTATTAATATGTAATCTTTAAAGACATTCTAATATATATTCAAAACAGTTAGTTCATTTTATGAGAGCTTGGTACTAATGAGGTTCTATCCCCTGGTGAGTCAATTACCTTCACTTTATTCTATGTCTGGACTGTAGCACAAACTACAGCAGATTTGGTTAGGATTATATGAATGGATTGGCACAGATCCAACATCAGTGTGGGGGGAAAAAAGTAATAATTAGCACAGATGTAATGATGATGAGTCAATAACTTTCTTTTTGTTGTTGTTTGTGGTTTTTTGGAGGGGAGGGGGTAATTAGGTTTATTTATTTATTTTTAATGGAGGTACTGAGGATTGAACCCATGACCTCATGCATGCTAAGCATGCTTTCTACCACTGAGCTACACCCTCCCCCCAGGAATCAGCACCTTCTTACATGGATTAACCTCTGTTCAAAATAATCACCTTGTGAGCTATGGAATTTAGGCTCCCCCTAGTGGCATATATGGCAGCAACCAAATTTATACAACTATGTTCAACATTATTTTCTATTTGCATTTTGCCATTCATTTTTAAGCCAGATCATTAGTGACATGAAGAGACATAGGATTAACCATTACCATAAGATATTTTAAGGGGTCAGTTTGCTAAATTAAGAATGTGAAAGATGGAGATCAGAGTTCTAAGATATTGCAAATAACTAGAAAAGTGGGAAACATAAGTAAAAGTGACAGTAACCCTCACAATATTTAATATAATTATGAGGGAGAAGCAGACTAAACACATTAATTTGGCAAGATCTTTACTAGATCCTTTCTTTACTTACCTTTCTTATACTTTGTCTCACTTTATCCTTCTTCAACCCTGGATTTCACAGATGAGGGAGTCTAGGTTTAAGGGATTTGGTATCTATCCCAAGGCCAGACAGCTAGTACATAACAGTGATATTACACTTGACACATAGTAGTTTTTGATAGGAAAGCCTTTGGCCATAATTGCATAATTGCCTTACAAGCAAGTGAAACAAGATGTTTTATACCTAATTTTTGTAATGTAATAAATTTTTAGTATATTTCAATGAATTAAAGAAAGTAAGGTTATTCTTTTAATAGTCAGAAAAATATAACTAGGTACCTTGTATATAAATATTTATTAAACATTTCAAGATTATTCATTATTCCCTTAATAGGCATTATTCTCTTAACAGAAAACAGACATTAAATTTCAGGTCTTCTGTTGGTGTGGCACTCACTTTATTATATTTAGTTTGCCCCCATCCCCAACCTCAGACTATAATGTGCCTCAGTTTGTTAATGATGATTTAGATACCCAGTAACAACCAACCAGCTAACCTCCCTTCTTCTCTCTCCCTCTCCTCCCCACCTTCAGTTTCTATCAGTTTGGTGCTACTTTATTTAAATCAGTAAAATTAACTGTTATGGACAGAGAAAATTCAAAAGTGGTTGATCTGAAATCATTTAAAAAGAATGTAAATTGTATAGGTACATTTGTATACAAAATATTATTTTTGATTTTTAATTTTCCAGATTTGTTTTACATCATATAAAAAAAATTAGTGACTATCTCTATGATTTTTTTCTTCCCGTTTTCCAGGTCTAATTGTCCAAAATGTGGCTCTACTGGTGAAGCTGAAAATGCTAGTTACAGATATAAACTTTCCTTAAAAGTTGCAGAGTCAAACAAATTGTTTGGTATTACTGTATTTGGAAGCTGCTTAGATGCATTTTTTGGTCTTACAGCCACTGGTTTGCACAGGTAAGAATATTTAAAGCATTCTTTTTCCTAGCTACTCCCTTAGTACATCAATAGAATTTGAAGATAATGTGTTTTTAAGGTAATACACATTTAGTAAAAAGACGATCACTCAACCTCGTATTGTTGGTTCCTTTAAAATATAATCAAGAGTTGAAGTGAAAGATGTTTATTTCCTCAATACATATTGTTAACCCATGCTCCTTTTAGTTAGGCCAACTAAGCTATAATTAGAGTATTAAATTATAAAACTCTAATCCAAGTTATAGAAATACAGACTAAGAAAGTAAAATTGTTTCAAACTGAAAGATTATTCAAATTGAGGTCAGCATTCAAGTGGCTAAGGTCTCTTGCAGTGGAAGAAGCTATTTGAAGGAATATTTGCATTATCAGAATTTGAATTTTTATCATTTATTTAATTTGCATTGCAACTTCATCTGCATAGCTTGACCTGTTAAGACGTTGTCCTGAGAATGTAAGGATATATATATATATATAAGCGGTTGAATCTTTTTTTTCCCCTTCAATCTTCTACCCTTCTCCCCTAATCACTTAACTAAGGAAATCTCTGTCTCCTTGTTGTTGAGAGCAAACTGATTTGATGAAAAAGAGCCCAGGGACCACAGCCAGGATTGCCAGGGAGAAGGAAAGACTTCCCTCTGCTTTGAGGAGAAGGGCTAAAGATCCCACCACTACTCCCACTGCCACTTTTAGAATAACTGCTGCCTAATTACTAGGCAGGCATCTACTTTAATCACACTTAATCAATTATTTTTGTCTTTCTAGGCTATAAGAACCTAGAGGGAACAAAATGACTAGCTCTTAAAGTCACTTTTTTCCCCCTATATGTAAACTCATAGGGTTCATGCTGCATTTTCAAACCAATTGTATCTTCTGACTTCATGGCAAGTTAAAATTTCAAAGCTTATCTCTTCACATTTTTAATTTTCTTTTCAATCAAGGTATATTCAGGATCCTAATGAAATTCCCGAAACACTGGACAGTGATACAACTCAGAACCTATTAACTAAAGCAGTTGAAACTTGCTTTGTTGGACAAAGCTTCATTTTTGGAGTGACGGTAATTGAGACTAGCTTTCTTTTTAGTATTATGCTAACATTTCCATTGTAATGAGATGGTTTGAATTTTCTAAATAGTTTTTAGGAGTCATAAATGTGAGGGCCTGTAGAAGCACTTTTAAGCTGTGTAAAAATAGGCTTTAGGTGATTTGTTAAAACACCATGTGTGACAACTTCCTCTTTCAAAAGTTAGAAGAACCCAGTTCAAATGCTTTCAGAGCTTTAAAAATCTAAATTTAGTATAAATTCAGAAGTGTTAGATGTTTTGATATTTGGTATCTATTGTATCCTCTAAATTCGGTTCAGATTCTGTAGCAAAACTTTCATTAACTCTGGCTTTTTAATTCTTTCATCTATAAAGGGAGGAGGGAACTAACATTGAAGGCAAAGCAACTAAGTATTGATAACTCTACGAATAGATTGGGAAGGATCATCTTAAATAATTACCAAAGTAACTGTAGGAAAAGTCTAAAAAATGTGCTGACTCTGAAGAAGTCATCATTTTCTGTCTCTTGTATGCTAAAGGGAACAAATGAAAATTTTGTCTACATTGGAATCAGTGTTTTAAAAAGGGGAATAGAGCACTCCACAACTGAATAGTGAGAAAAACCCAAAGGGAAAGTGAAACCAGGAACTACAGAAGTTTTCTTTGTTACAATCTTAGATGGCTCTTTTTCTTTTCTTCTTTTTTTTTTTTTAAAGAAATGAGAGCATTTCCTTAAATACTCAAAGTTTATGGAAACTAATGAGGATGTAATGGTAGCTACCATTTATTGAGCATCTACTATTTGCTAAGCACTATAGTTTTTTGTGTTGTTATTGCTAATACAATAATCCTACACATTTATCCCTATTTTATAAATGAGAAAACTAATTACTTGTTCAAAGCCCCAACACTGGGAAATGTTAGAACCAGGATTTGAAGGCAAGTCTCTTTACTACAAGGTTTACTTCCCTATAATTTTAGTTCCTCTAGTGTTATAGGCTACTCTGCCTCTACTGGAATCAGAATTTTAAAAGGGGAAGAGAGCCCTCCACAACTGAACAGTGAGAAAAGCCCAAAGGGTAGGCTACTCTGCCTGCAATACTAGAGGAACTGAAATTATGGGAGTGGGGTTATAATAGCATCTGTTTTAACCTTTTAAACCCTGTTTCACATTTGAGTCAAAGGAAGAAAATTTTATTCTCATTTACATTTATTTACTTCTTTCATAGAATTTTGAAAACCAATATGGACAAGGTTCAGGTTCCAATAACTTCTTACAGCAGTGCTCAGATCTCAAGAAAGAAGTTAAAGCGCTTATAGCTTGCCAGATTGTTCTACCAGACCCAGGTGTTGTAGGCTTCACTGTCATTGACTATTTCCATCAGCTTTTGCAGCTTTCTGATGTCAGGAAACTTCGTTGTGGTTCCCAGGCACCTAGCAGCCGCTTCCTTGCTTTAGAACACTCAAGTAGTGATTTCAGCAGCATATGTGGCCCTGACAGCAGCTCTTGTTGTTCTGAGTCCCATGGCAGAGAGAATTTTTCAGGATTCAGGCAGCCATCACTTGAACTCATTTCCACTGATTCACAACTAACAGATGATGATGATTTTTCAGCTTCAGAACAAAGCAAGGCCATTGGTACTCTTTCCCAGAACAGAAAGTGCATCTCCTTTACAGAGGCCACTGGTTCCAACACCTGCCATGATACCACTCATATTTCGTGGAGCTTTGTTTCATATATGGATAAAAAGAGTACAGCACAAAAGTTGTGTGAAGAACCTGGCTTACAAGCTAATCAGCCAAGAGCAGTTCATAGCAATCATCATGAAATTAGAGTCCCTGGCTCTAATTTATTCCCTTTGAAAGTGGAAGAGCCCCTTGAGCCAACTAATACAAAATCCTTTCACAGTACAGTGGAAATTAAAAATAGGTATTCCCAGTGTGAACTAAAATATCGCCAGTATCATGATGTAGATACCCTCCGTGGCCGTCAGGAGAGATCTGTGTGTTGTCCACCTCCATCACTCAGATTTGAAGAGATAGCTGGTGGTTCCCAGGACTGTGAACCTGAGATTTGGGATGATCTACCATTCTCTGAAAGCCTAAACGAATTTCTGGCAGCTTTCGAAAATGAGATTTCTCTAACTCACACAGATGTCAGTAGCAGGAAATGTCATCTAGATAATAACGTTGGTAAATTACCTGTAGACCACAGCAGGTTATCAGTAACTCCCAACAGAACTACTAGTGTACTGAATACGCCACCCATAGCCTTAAGATCACCACAAGTGACAGCCAAAGCAAACACCAGCAAAGATAACTTCCTTTCCAACTGTGAAGCGAATCTAAGTCCTAGTGTTCATAAGGAGTCACAACCAGAGAACACCGCAGAGGCTATCTCTATAAGTAGTAGTGGAAGAGACACATCTGAAAATTTTCTACCAAATGTTTATCTGTCAGCTCTGTTTCCATCTTCAAAAGGCTCAGGCACAACAAGTACTCTCAAGTCTACTGAAATTCCATCACATAGGGCTGAAGTTTCACTTACGTGCAGTACTTCAGAGAGTGACCATTCTTGTCTCAAAGGCAAATATTTTAATGGATGTGGAGAAAAATCGCTTTCAGAAATGAGTGAAAAGTTGACAACTTTGCATTCTAGGAGGTATAATGATGTTTCCAGCCTTCACACCTTAGAAAATAAACAGTACTCTAGGTTGCCAAAGAACCAGGGTGACAGTTTTCCAATTTGCAGGAAACTCACATATCCTTTAGAAGCTCTCTGCAGTAGTCCAAATAGAAGTACGAATACACTGAAAGAAATGCATTATGAACACACCAGTAATAACTTAACACAGAACTGTTCTACTGGTCATGAAGGTGGCTACAACGCTTCTGCTGATCTCTTTGATGATAGTGCTAAAGAAATGGACATTGCAACAGAAATGACCAAAAAGTCACAGGATATTTTGTTACAGTGGGGAAAGCCTTTGGCAGAAAGTCATCAGACGGAATCTGATTTTTCATTGAGATCCCTTTCTGAAAACTCTAGCCAGTCTTCACAAAAATTATCCTTGCAAAGCACATCTGCTTCTCTGTATCCAAGAACACGTTCCTCTTCACCTCATTTTCAGTCAGATTTGGAGTATGACTTTGAAGATAGCCAAGATTTTGTTCCATGTTCACAGTCAACTCCAGTTGCACGATTCCACCAAACTAGAATTCACGGCGAGATGAAAGGAGCTTTCAAAAAATTTCCTGCCTTTTATTCAGATCTTGATGCTAACTATAAAAAAACAAGGCTTTCCTCTGAAAATGACACACAGCAAGCCATCCCTACCTGTCCAAAAAATATAAAGACACCCAGCCAGAAATCCAGAAGTCCTACTATATCTGGTATGACACAACCAGAGATTTTCAACAGCTGTCCTGTTGCTGAATGCCCTGAAAGTGATGTTGATGAATGGGTCCCTCCTACCACACAAAAAGTATTTCTTTCAGAAATGCATGGATTCCAGGCCATGTGTCTAAGGAAATTTCCTGCTGCTTATAATTCTCCTGATCAAAAAGAATTACCAAGAAAAAAACGGAAATATATCAAACAAAGAACTAATAAATGTTTAATTAAGAAGGAGTTAAATTTAAAGAATATGCTTACAGCAGCAGTTACAAATCAGAAAACTCCTGAATATAACAGAATAAGGTCAGGCTGGATTTTCAAAGAGTCAGTGTTGGGACTTGGTTCTTGTTCAGAAGTCAAATGTTGCCTTCCACTTTCAGAAAACTGGCCACTTTCCATGCCTGACACTAAAAGTGCATGGTCTCCTGAATTGTTTTCACAAAATGTCACCTGAACCCAATTACTGGACTTTCAAAGGTAAGTCTGTTTGGAAACTCTTACCTCCATTGGCATGGAAAGCATTCTTACCATTTTGACCCCTTGAAGAGAAGCAAAGAGAAAAGAGGTGCTGTTGTGCCTTTTAAATGGTGAGATGCCATTGTTTTTCTCAGTGTTTTATCCAGAATACTCTGATTTCAGATAATTTTGCACTTTATCTTATATTGTTGATTGTACTTAAGCAATATTGTTAACTTCGCTTGTTAACAGTATTTGTTGAAATCACATGTACATTCAGAAATAAAGGCATTACAAACCAAAACTTAGTCTTTCTTAATTGTTCAGCTTAGATCAGAAAATGCCTGCCATGTATTAAGCCAACTACTGTGCTGAGTTCGTAATACAAAGCTGCAAGTTCACTGATCTCAAAAGATTTTAGTCTACTGGGTACAACAGAAATATAATAGACACTTTCAATACAATGCAGTAAATGCAATGATTGAGGTTTTTCATGGATATTACATTTATATTGCTCCGGAGTGTGATAGGGAATCAGTTAACCCAGCAGCATCTATGGGCTGGGAATAAGAAGAAAGGTCAATAAAAACTCACTATTTAGAGTGAAATGTGAAACCCACTTTTTATTAAGTACTCATTGAATGCTTACTATATGCCAGGCACTGTGCTAGGTGCTTGGAATTCAAAAATGAAAGTCAAGCCCCTTACCTCAAGAAACTGAAGGTCTGAAAGAATAGACAATTAGTATCCAGTAATTTCTATGATAGGGAGATAAGCCTGAAAGACTAATAAGGAGCAAAAATGAGGACTGTTTTCTAGACATTCAAGTCTTTTGCAGCACCTCAGCTCTTTTATGTACCTCTGGTCATTCCTCACAGCAACTATTCCAAATCTTCACCATGCCTCCCAACCTACACTGCGCTCCTTGCCTCCTACGTCATGATCACCTGGTATTACCTTCACCTTCCCACACCCATACCTACTGACTTATCTCTGCTCACCCACAGCTCTTTCCTCTAATCTCAGAAAATGATGCACACCTCCTATTTAGTGCTAATCTTTCTGTTTGGGCTGTAGCTCTGTTACCTTCTCGTTCTACTGGCTTTCCCCCTCTCCCACTTTTTATTTAGAAAATTTGCAAACACAAAAAAGCTGAACAAATGACACAGTGATATAGCATCTATACACGCCACCTAGATTCCATCATTTTTAACATTTTGCCTTTTATGTATGGGTGTGTTTACTTCCAGTGTGTCTGTAAATGTATCTATGGTTGCTTTTGCTGAACCTTTTGAAGGTAAAATAAGGACTTTTTCTTCTACATAACTACAATATTACTATCATACTAAAGAAAAATAATGGTAACTCTACAATATTATCTAATGTTTAGCCCATTTTTAAGTTTTTCTACTTGTCCTTAAGTTGTCTTGTAATTGTTGATGTTTAATCAAGATTTTATTATTAAGATGACTCCATGTGTTTAGTTATGTCTCTCGTCTCTTTTTCCAGAATTTCACCTCTTATTTCCCACTGCATTGGCTTTATGAAAAAATCAGACCATTGTTTTGTAGAGTGTCCCATTCTAGATTTTTGTGTTTGCTTCTTTATAGTATCACTACCTTGTCTCTCTATCCCCCAGTATTTCCTGTAAAGTCTAAAGGCTTGATTAGGTTCAGGGTTTGGGCAGAGATACTTCATGGGTTTATGTTGTGCACTTCCTATTATATCACATTAGGAGACACAATGTCCGGTTGTCCACTTTTAATGATGCTAAATGAGATTGCTTAGTTAAGATGTTGCTCACCAGATCTCTCCATTGTAAAGGAACTCTTTTTTTACTTTTTTAGAGTAAAGAGTCAGTATTATCCTTGCCTACCAGTGGTGTTGAGTGCATTTCCTTTTCCTGCTCCCTATCACTATGTACTTAAAAATTTTTATTTTCTCAATGATTTACAGTCATTTGCACTCATTATTCTTCCTGGTACTCTATGTAATACTTCTTGCTACGTCACTACTAACCACAGTTGTTTATAGCCAGGCTCCAACAAAAAATAGTCATTGTCAACTTTCACACCACTCACTGTTCAACCTACTGCAGTCTGTTCTCTCTCCCCCACTTCCAGTGGCTATGGTATCAGTAGATTTTTAACCCTCAAATCCAATGGACTTATCATTCATTATTTTATTTCATTTGACCTCTTTACACTTCCTCTATTTCCAACATACCCACTCATGTTTTCTGGTTTCTCCTAGTCTCTGATCAGGTATGCCTGCAGGGCAATTTTTTTTTCAGGGCCCTACATAAACAATTTGATTCTAAAATATTTTACAAAATTCATGGTCCCATGTAAGGTAGAGTGGTTTGTCAATGAAGATTTAGAATAATGGATAAGGAAAAGGTGCGTGTTTATTGCCCAGTCAGTGCATGTGAAGATCTTTATAGTATACCAGCAGCCTCTCTTTCTCAGGCCAAGGAAATAGTCTCTTCATGTTCTTTGTTGCCAAATGTGCTGTTCCTTGCTATTTCATATCTCCCACTGTGATAAAAGAGTTGTAATGCGGTTTCTATTGTATGGAACTATATAGATCTTGCCTGTACAGTTACCTAATATTTAATGCTGCTTACATCTTTACCCATGATGTGCATTCATTGTGCCACCATGAGTACTGACTTCCAGAAACTCTATGTTGTCACTCTGCTTCATTGATGATTACTAAAAATGCAAGTCTTACCCAGAGTGTGCAGGAAAATGTGAATGATAATTCATTTTCTGGTTATATTGTATTTAGCATTTGGACTTTCCTAGCATAGACATAGAACACATGTTCCAACCATGTCTTCTCTTGAACTCTTTAGGCTGTAATTACTGCATTCCTAAACTGTGATCTTTTAGTCACACCCAGGAAAAATAGGCAAGAGGCCCATGGGTGGAGCAAGAAGAGTGGTTTCATTTGTGCAATGAATATCCATCCCTCAATCAGCATGTCTTAAGCCCAAACCTGGAGAGCACAATGTCACTGTCAACTGGAAATGAGAGGAAAGACATTGATTGGAAGAGCCAGTAGGCATGGGGGCATAACAATCTTGAAAAGCCTGAGATAAGGTGGGCCTGTCCCAACAAACAGTGCAGAATCTAAAGAAAGGAGTAGCGTGACCTTCCTGGCACCAATTGTGGGAGGTAGACTGGGTTAAGAACAATGCCATTACTCTCATAAGCCTTGGGGGGGGAGGGGTCTAGAGACCAAGGGCAGCACCATAGTTTGAACACAGACCAGTAGGAGCC